AGCCGGCAGCAGAAGGGAAGGGATGGGAGAGAGAGGGAGGGAAAGGGGGAAGATAGAGGGAGGGAAAGGAAGGAGAGGAGTGAGGTCGGGGGGAGAGGAAGAGAGGGCGAATGAGCGAGGCCAGGGAGCTGAGGACACCATTACTGGGGGGAGAGGTCCGAGGAAGTTCAAGAGCTGAGTGGGGAAAGTATGTGTTATTATTATTGTTTAGTATTTGAGTTATTTAAGAGAAAGTGGGCCTCGTGTCAAATGCAAAACAAAGAGGAGAGCAGGCAAGGCGAGCAGCAGGGGAGAGCTGGAGGGCAGGAGGGCTTGGGGCCCTGGAGGGCAGGAGGAGGGGCCAGCTAGGAATCCTGGCCTGTAGCCGGCAGCCCCTGGGGTGGCAGTGTGAGCGGAATTGTGTTCCTCTCAACGCGTGGTTTCAAATCAAACGAGATGCCCCTACACGCCCCCCACCCCACGCCCCTGGTAGGGAAAGAACCCACTTTATTAGAATGCAGCATGGAAGAGAGAAACTCCAGCCTTCAACCCCAAGTCAGGCCCACACCCTTCCCAGCCCAGAAAGTAAACCCCTGGATGGATTGGGGTGGGGGTGGGGGCTGGAAGGGGGTTGGATGAAATTTAGAACCTTGAGAATAGTGCCACACTCTTATTCAAACAGACAAAACCCCTCAAAAACAAAACTCAATGCCACTGAGGACAGAGTAGAATGCTCCTGTGAGTTTCTGAAACTAACTCTTTAGAGGAGTAGAAAGCCCTGTGGGTTTTGAACTGCTGCCCTTGCAGTTAGCAGCCCAACATGTAACCAATACGCCACCAGGGCGCCTATTATTAAAACCATACCCCACAAATCTGAACACAGATCTCACATCCCCAACTAGCGAGCTTAGGCATTCCTCCATGGCCTGGTGCCTCGGCGCGTATGTTCTTCTGAGCCTCAAAAAAACCCCAACCAAACTCACTGCCATCAGTCAACGCCGACTGCCAGTGACCCTATAGCACAGGGTAGAACTGCCTCTGAGTTTCTGAGACTGCGTAACTGCTTCCAGGAGGAGAAGCTCCAGTCTTTCGCCTGCAGATCCACTGGTGGTCTCCATCTGCTGAGTCTGGGGGTTGCAGGTGCCTGATGAGCCTCTGTCTCCATATAGATATCTACCTGTTTGAGGTTGTATGACAAAGTCTTCATGTGTCCATGCCTCTATAAATATAGCACGGTGGGGTGCCTGACAAATAATGTCACAAAAGAGAGGAAATCACAACCAGCATCAACAGCCCAAGGCCAACTCCTGGGACAGGACGCAGAGGTCAGACAGACCTCCTATCTTAAGCCTTTTGGCCCATTCCTATACCGCTGCCCTTCCCCAGGCAGCCTGCTGGCTTCAACAATCCGTTGCAATGGCTGCCACACAGAACTCAAAGGCAATGCTCACAATTCTGGGGTCTGTTGGGGAAGGAACAAGTAATAATGCAGGGTCAGGAAGCAGTCAGGAGACAGTTCTTTGATCAGGACAAGCTCCCCTCAGCTGTGCTCCCAGGCCTCTCTTTGGCCCTCAGTCCCTCTGCTCAGCCTCTGCCCAACTCAGGCGAGTTCTACAATGGCTCTCCTGATAAATATGCCCAGAAACACCCCTTTTCCTAAAGGCGCAACCCTTTTCCTAAAGGCGCTCAGCTCTCTAGCGCTAAAGGTCAGCAGACTAGTTGCACCATATACATGCCCAGAGGAACGCCACTGGCCACCAAGCCTCCGGCCCCAAGCACTGGGCTCTCACCTGTCTCTGGTTCTGCTACTGCTAGTTGTGCTGCCCTCCAAGCTACTTCTCTCGGTCCGGTGTCCTCTTTGGTGTTAAACCCTTTCTGGATCCTGAGTCTAGGAAGTTCTCCGAGATCTCAGGTCCAAAGAATGTTCCTATCTCTTCGTCTTGGTTGTAGTGGTTTCTGCTCCACCCCTCAACCCCCCTCCCGCAACTCATTATTATTAAATTTATTATTATTAAATGATTCATTATTAAAATAATGGCTCATTTTAAGCCTGACAGCATGGTAAAACAGACCAGTCTCCTCATTAGGGTTCCAAATTCCTTATTTGCATTACCCCACCTCCATGAGGGTTTTATGCACCTTATTTTCAGGAGCAGCAAACTATCCAATCTCCTTGGTGGACCACAAGCACCTTATTTGCATAACTCCACCCAATCATTGTATAGAAGTCATGAAAACCCTCCAGAGAAGGGCCATGTTAAGTAATGCACTGCATTGCAGCCTCGACCCCACTGCTCGGACTGTTTGACTCCATGAGCCACTTTAGCCCCCATGTCTCTGGCCATACCCTTAGCCTTGCCACCACCGTAGACGGGACGCAGAAGTTTCCATGGCAACACTTCAGATTTTAATACATTTTGCTAGGGATGATAGAAGGCGCATAGGGCATCTGGTCGCTTGGATGGGAGTCAGCAGGCGCTGCAGGGCTCCAGATCCAGCACCCACCACCCGAAAGTCTGGTAGGGCCAGAAGAAGGTGTTCCCCTCCCAAGCCTCTCCTGTGAGTTCAGCAGGCCCAGGTGGGCTCATAAGGTCATCTGGGAGAAGATGGGGGTACCTGGGCCCCAGGAGCCTCCCCACGCTCTCCCACTCCCCTCACCCCCGGTCAGGGAGCAGCGTCTCCCTGCACTTAGCCCCAAAGGCAGTCGGAGGGCTCCGCTCTCAGGGGACCCAAGGGAGAGCCGGCGGGGTGGCAGTCCCAGCGGCCGGAGCCGCCGCGGAGAGGGCCCTGGTGAGGCAGTTGGAGAAGGCAGAGGTGTCTCGTCAATGAAGGTGGTGATCTCCTCCCGGAAGAAGCCAGGAGCCCGCGGGGGTCCCCCGCCTGCCCCCAGAAGTCCACCCTCCAGGAATTGTCGGAGACTGGCCAGCCCCCCACTTTCGGGGTCCTCCTCCTCCTCCTCCTCCAGCCTGCGGCGCCGACCCAGGTACTCGGAAGGGCCCCCCAGGGCCTGGCTCTGGGCTGGGAGCATCCGGATGTCATCGGAAGATGACCACTTGTGCAGGAAGGAGCCCGGTGCCCGAGGGGTAGAGAAGATGTTGGTCTCATCATGGGACAGACGGCGGGACAGAGGGACCTGGAGAGAGGAGCACTAGAGATTTAGGCGCCTTGCAAGCACAGGGCGGGCAAACGTGGGGCCCCAGCAAGGCAGGCTCCCCTCCCTTGAAACATCCTGGCTTTAGCTAATCTGGTTCTGAGGCGTCAGAAGGGTGACTTTTTCGGTGCCTCTCTTCCCCTCCCCTGCTTCCACCCCTTGGGTGCCATGAGGATGGATAGCGGGGCCTGTGGTGAGCAGATGCCAAGGGGGAGGGGTCCCAGTGCCCAGGCCTGGGCATGTACCTGTAAGTAGTGGACCCTCTCCAGAGGGGGGAAGAGCATGTGCCTTCCGGGTAGCAGCTTCACCTGGGCGGGGTCCTGGCAGCCGGCTCCTGTGGCCCCATTAGCATCAAAGCGAACTTTGCACACTGGGCCATCTGCGTAGTCCTCACAGCCCCCATCTGGGAGAGAAGCCGTGGGGTGGGGTGGTCCAAGTCAAGAAGTAGCCAATCTCCGGCTCACCTGATAGCTCCCTTCTGTTCTCACTCTCCCAAGCTCCTATTAGACCATGCACGTGGCCAGGGTCGGTTTCAGCGTTGAATCCCTGGCACTTCCTACACGCCAACAAAGACCACCCCTCCTGTCACGCTCTCCCTATGGCTGAGGGTCCTCGTGTGAAGCTTAGTCGGCCATGGGTGTCACAGCCTTCCTGTATGCTTGTGTTGGGCGGTTCCGCAGGCACTCCGGTGAGGCAGAGCGGGCTTCTAGGGCCCAGGGAAGGCGGCCCCTGGTGCCAAAGGAGCAAGTGGGAGGTTTCGGCCCAGGGCCACCCGGGTTCTGTCCAACAGGGGCGCTCCAGGGCAGCCCTCCCCCGCACAGAGTAGGGGAGGGGGGAAAGGAGTCACTGCCCGGGGAAGCGAAAGGCCGGGCCCTCCTCTGACCTTCATCACCATCCTCCTCGGACATGATCGCTACGCACTGCTCCCACACGGTGCGCACGTCTGCACGGTAGCGCTCGCAGGACCAGATGAAGGAGGGCAGCAGCAGCGTCTGGGCCATGGAGCACCACAGCACCGCCAGCACCATCCACGGCGGGGCCGAGTCCGACTTCAGGGAGAAGAAGCTCACCACCTAGTGGGAGAATGAGGAATAGCACAGGATCGGGCCCAGAGGCAGGGAGCCACCTAACCCAGGGAATGCTGCTGCCTGATCCCACAGGGACGCTAAGAAGCAAAGTTGGAGGAGGAGGCAGTGGACAGGGAAGGGATTGAGCCCGAGGAAGGCGAGAGGAGAGTGATGGAGACAAAGCTCTGGGGTGAGGAGGGAAAAGAACAGAGGCTGGGTCATAAATGAAAAGACAGAAATCCACGAATAGGGACTCAAAGAGCATGCAAACAGCTAGGGAGTGGGGTATCTACCCAGGAGTGCTCAGACTGTGTGTATCAGAGGGAATTCGGGATGGAGAGTGGGGCTTGGCAGATGGATGAGAGGTATGAGGAGCTGAAGAATGGAAGTGAAGAGAGGGTGATGGAGCTAAAGGATGGCTGGTGGAATTGGCGAGAGGATGATGGAGCTAAAGGACAGCTGGTGGAATTGGCGAGAGGATGATGGAGCTAAAGGACAGCTGATGGAATTGGC